ATTTATGGATAAAGAACAATGTATGGATGGTCTTCCTGTAAGAAATGACAACTAAGCTGAAACCCAAGATGAAATCAGGGGTAACAGAAAGAAGAAAGACAATATGAGGACAGTGGGCCAAGTAAACATCATGTTGCAAACTGGAAACTAAATTCCCCTTTGGAAGCTTATGTGGCCCCACTAATTACCGCAGAGAATCAGATTTAAGGGAAATTTAAGGTAAAGAAGTAGGAGTTTGCTGTTCAGGTGAAATCTTTCAACAACTAGTAGGGTTTGTATTTTTTTCCAAAGACTCTTTTTTTTTAGCGTGTGGGGCGGTTTCAAGACAGGGTTTCTCTGTGTAGCTTTGGAGTCTATCCTGGCACTCGCTCTGGAGACCAGGCTGGCCTCGAACTCATAGAGATCCGCCTGCCTCTGCCTCCCAAGTGCTGGGATTAAAGGCATGTGCTACTAATGCCTGGCCCAAAGACTCTTAGACCATATGTTTTCCTGCTTTTATTTAAGCAAGTGGGTGTAGAAACATAAAATCTACTTTCTATTTGCTAGTGAACTGAATTGAAATTGTCTTAGAACAGTAAAACTTTTCTAACTTGTTCTTTATAATATAGTATCATCTTTGCCTTTACACATTTAGTGGATATCAATGACCACCAGGGCATAGTGGAAGTGGAACCTTAGTATACAGAAATATATAAATACACCTACTATTTGATAATCCCCAGTGTTTCCTTATGTATTCAACATACTTCCAGTTGGTTATATTGTGGAGCTTTCTAAGTGCTAGATTATAAATTGACTCTTTCCCCCAACAATAATTATTCTTCACTATTTCTGCTAGATATTAAAATACTAGTGTAGAAATATAGATGCTAAAATAGTTCACTCTGTTCAAACTCTAACCAGTAAATTTCACAAAGACTACATGACACAACTAAAGTGTTATTAACAATCAGGGGCAGTGTTTCTTCACCCACCCCCACCCCGAGAAGATTGGCTTATCTATCCATCCAGTCACAAGAACTGGTGCCCTATTTTATGAAGAAGTCAATTTTTGCCACTATAAGCCTTTTAAACTAAGTCCAGATGCAGAACCATTTGTAAATTAGGTTCAACGGCTTTTATATGTTTAAGCTTATTTTTTATCTCTAATTGGTTATCATTTTTATTGTTTTCTAAATCACTTCTATTCAATAATCCTTTGGCCAATGTTTACATTAGTTAAAGGTTAATGAGGGGAGGTAACGCTCTGTGCACACAGGTGCAATATTTGATTTTAAGGGTTGTCCTTTAATATCAGATGATGTCCAGATATGAAGGACCTATGATAATTTAACCAAAGAATGAACAATCAATTCAGACCATTGTTGAAGTTTTCTATATAAGGAGAAATAGCCCTTTGGCCAAAGTAGGCAAGCAGAGAAGCACAATCCTGTTTGTGAGGACACTGTAAGTACGTTTGACGATCAGAATTAATTGAAATCCTGGTCTTTTTTTCTTTACTTCAGTTATCACAATATAAATGTGTCTGTTTTATTTATGTATTATTCTTCTAGAATTTGGCTTATATTTTTCTTTGTTATGTATAAATAAAATTCTTAATTACAAATTGATGAATTTATCTATTAGTGTCACATATATCTACTGTGAGTGCATTCTTTCAGGTTATCCCTTTGAGATCAGCCTCTTTAGCATCATAGAAAGCATAATTTTTGATATTGAGTAGCATAACATTTACCACCAACTGGTATTGAGTTAACCATTACCAGTAATGTTGGTCAACAAGGTACTAATATATTTCTTCAAATTAAAACCCAAGAAAACAAAAGTTTGATTTGCATTATAGAATGCTTTGGTGAATTGTCCCCAATTCACTGCTTATATATGTGACTTAAGGTCATTCTAGTGAGGCAGTAAAGTAGTGGAGAAGACAGTCCTTGGAAACAGCCAGCACAGTTTTAATTACAGGTGGGGGTGCTTTCCACATACATGTTGGGTCTTTCTTTGCCCATCGGCAAAGTAAAGAACATGATGCTAAGTACTTAAAAGGGGTGTTTCAATTAAATGTTAGAACATTAAATATTTATAATTATAGCAATAATAATTATGCTAACCTGCTTAATCATAATGAATATCCTGGAGCACAAAGAAATATACTCTTGTTAGCACTGTTTTACAGAAAAGGAAAAAACTAAAAATAACTCACTTGCATACTATTGGACACATGACAGTTACTGATATTATCTGGGAATTTGGTATCAGATATTTTGAAAATTTAATCATGCCTCAAGTATTTCAGATCCTATCTTTTATACATTTTTTTTTTTTTTGGTTTTTCAAGACAGGGTTTCTCTGTGTAGCTTTGGAGCCTCTCATGGCATTTGCTCTGTAGACCAGGCTGGCCTCAAACTCACAGAGATCGGCCTGCCTCTGCCTCCCGATTGCTGGGATTAAAGGCATGTGCCACAACTGCTGGGCTCTTGTATGCTTTTGTTATTGGGATATACAATAATTTAAGCCATTTGTTAAATGACCTCACTTTAGAAAGACAAATTACTTAATTGAGACAACAAAGCTAAAAAGAAACCACAAATTTTTAAATAGCTTGACAATCATCTAGCTTGAGTGTTAAAGTGGCAGTTAGTCTTTATAAATTAGTTTATTCTTTCAAGACTTTTCATTATACAGAAAATGTTTAGTTAAATCCATTTCCAAAGACATCGTTAACCCAATTTCATCGCTAAGTGGCTGAATTCTCAGACCAATAATTAGATTTAGGTCTTGGAATCTCTAGTTCAACACCATGACAGTCGGGGACTTTGCAAAATGTACTAGTGTTTACTGAAATATTGACAGCAACTGAGACCTATAATGGTACTGTTTCATTCGTACCACCATCCTGCAAATAATAACATGGAAACTTCTTATTTATTAATTATGAAAGATAGGCCTTAGACTAGGCTTGTCCCCAACTAACTCTTATAACTTAATTTGTTAATATTAATCTATGTTCTACCACATGACATTTTTACCTCTTTTCCATTTCTGTTATCCAACTTGTTCCATGTCTCCTGGTATATCCTGGCATTTCTTTTACACATAGTTTCTTATTCCCAGTTTCTCTCTCTCTTTCTTTCTGGAGGTGCAACCTATACATCCTGCCTAGCTATTGACTGTTCAGCTTTTGATTACACCAATCTCAGCAATACATTTTCACACAGTGTACAAATATCCCACAACAGAGACCTGATCCTCTTTCAAAGAACACCATTTGAAAAAAAGATCCAAGTTTTACAAATCCTTCACTGTTCACCCTTAAAATCTTTTTGTATATGATCTCCAAATTTGCTTCTAGCACACAGTACTAGCCAAAGGGGGAAAAAACCTGAATGACTTCAGACACACTAAAAAGATCTTTATTTAAAATTAACCTCCATGTGGCATCTCTTGAAAAGAGAAAACACCACTTCTCACTTTTGGTTTTTTCTTAAGCTTACTATTGAATATTCTAAAATTCGTAGTTGGTGCTTACAACATTGAAGTACATTGAGAGTCTAATGCCAAATATCATCCATACTAAAGGATAAATGACAATTACAATTGGGTGATCAAAAGGAGTTATTGTAATGTTCCTTTCCAAAATCAAAGTTTATCCTTTGAGATAGTAATCAAAATATAAAAACACAAGAAACTAGAATCTATTCAAGGTTTATGAGTGGTTATCTATAGTAAGATAGGTTCATCAGTTGGGATATTTTCAGTCTAAAATTTTCATTCATTTACTACCATCCTGCATTGCTTTACAATGACATAACTGACAACAACTTTGAAAGCAAGTTATATGACAGGTCAATTATTTAGATAGTAGCATAGATTCAGTCTTTGTGAAGTCATTATTTTCCAAAACAAATTTTTAGTTTCATGCTTAAATATGAGAAGATTCAACTAGTAAAGCCCTTATTTTTCATAAAAATAATAATAGTAAATTCATTTTTCTGAAAAAGATATTTGGCCATATAATACACTACTGGTTTATAACCAGTCTTACCTACATAATTTCAAAGGAATAATCTCAGTAGAAAATTAAAAGAGCTGCACTTTTCTAGAATTACACCAATGCATTATTCTTATTGTGACATCATTTTGATATGGTGATGTTACCTTTCAAATTCACAGTGTTTTCAAACCTCTAAATAGTTATAAAGCCACTATTATTAACACAATGACAGTTTCATTTATTTCAGCATATGTGTGACTGTACAGAGCACATGTGGATTTCAGAGGACAGCTCTTGGGAGTGGGTTCTGAGAATCAAATACCAGGTCATCCTCTAAGCCATCTCTCCAACCCCACAATGATAACTTTGAATGCAAATTATGTTAAAATTGATGTAAAAACATCAAATGCCCATATAGCCTTCAGTCCCACTCAGTGCTCAAAAAGAAAGTTTGGTCTTAAGCATACAGAATAATAAAACTATGCTTCACCTGTAGATGGAGGATTAAAATTCCTGGTTAAAATTCCCGAGTTGGAGATTAAAAAAAAAAAAAAAAGGAATCAGGACTGGGTGGATGCCTCAGCTGGTGAAATACACTTGCCATGCATGGTTAAGAACCTGAACTCTATCCCCAGAACTCAGTAAAATAGCTGGGCATAGTGATGCATGCTGGTAATTCCAGAGCTAGGGGAGCTGAGACAGGTAGAGCTCTCTGACCATTCACCCAACTTATTCATCAAACTCCACACACACACACACACACACACACACACACACACACACACACACACACACCATGTACTTTGTCCACTCATCCCTACTAAGGTGTGGTCCATGGGCCAACAGCATCTACATCACTTGAGAGCTGGTAGGACATGCACAGTCTCAGGTCCTGTCAAGGCTTACTGAATTAGCACCAATTTTAAACAGAGCCTCGTCTGAATGTTATGGAAGCATGTAGGTTAACCATAATATAGCTTCTCCTTTTGTTTCAGGGCAGTCCAAGATGTGGCTGCTGTTGACAGTAACAAGTGTGATATCTGCTTTTGGAGGCGCACATGGTTTAAATGAAAGACTGAGTCCCGAGATCCTTGAAGCAATGATGAATATTGTGAGTTATTAAGGGAGATTACTGGGATGAGAGCCATTATGGGTCTAAACTTTTAGTTAAAAATTTAAAATTCACTAGAAATACTTGTTAGATGCATTTTAAATTAATTAAAACATAAAAAATTTGTTTTTAAAATTTCTTCCCCAGAATCTGATGATAAATTTCATGGGATATCCAAGTGAAGAATATCAAGTTATGACTGGAGATGGCTACATTCTGGGGGTCTTCAGAATTCCTCATGGGAAAACACATTCAGAGAATTCAGGTATAAACTTCCTTCCTTTTCCTCATTGCTTCTTTTCTTCCTTGCCTTTTTCCCTTCCCTTCATCCATCTCTCCATCTGTCCCCACACTTTTCTTTGTTTTTCCCTTCATTTCTTTCTAACAATGAAATGAGTCTAGTTTACTCTGTATGCAATGCAAAGTTGTATTTCCAATCTTCAATAAGCAGCAATCAAGTCTACTGAGACAAAGGAATGAGAAAGTAATCATGATTTTAAAAAAGGACTATCAAAGGCCTCTAACCAATTTAAAGAAATCAGGGACAATTTCTTTCAACACAGTAGCTGAAATCCAGTGCATGGAAAGAGTTAGCCAGTTTGTATTGTAGAGGGAAGGCTGGAAGTAGCTAGAGGTCTATTTCCTAAATAGACAAAGGCCATTTTATTTTGATAACATTGTTAGATTTTCATCTTTCTCTCATTATAGAAAAATAATGAAACATAACTTTACTACTCTTAACCTACATTTACTCAGTGCTTAATTTCCTTAGATTATCATTTTAATATCTTTATTTACATTTAACTGACATGTAAGAGTAAATACATTTCATGTACACAATATAAGATGAGGATATAGTTCAACTGTACATTTGCATAGCATATGCAAGGTCCTGTGTTGATAAATCCAAATACACTAAATAAAAATAAAATTTATGTGCCAGAGTCTCAGTGGTTAAGAACCCTAGTTTCTCTTGCTTAGGCCTGGGTTCAATTCTCAGTACGCACAAGCTGGCTGCTCACAACTATACATAATTCTAGTTCTAGGAGATTGGATGCTATCTTCTGGCCACTGGAGGCTTCTGAAAACATGTGGCACACATAAATTCATACAGGCTTACACAAATGCATAAAAATAATAAATAAATGAACAAAGTGTACAATTTGATTAATTTTGGCATACCAGACACACTCCAGAAAAGATATTTTAGATGTCAAATACAAACATAACAAAATAAACATACTCAATTTGACCACATGTCTAACTACCATAAGGAATAACTTTATAATGTTTGAATAATCTTTTTCCTTAGGCAAGAGACCTGTGGTGTTTTTGCAGCATGGTTGGCTTACATCAGCCACAAACTGGATGGAAAATCTGTCAAACAACAGCCTGCCCTTCATTTTGGCAGACGCTGGTTATGATGTGTGGCTGGGAAACAGCCGCGGGAATCCATGGTCCAGGAGAAATTTATATTATTCACCCAACTCAGTTGAATTCTGGGCTTTCAGGTAAAGAAAGGATAATTTAAAATGAGTACGTACTTGAACTCTACAAGCATGGGCATTCTCACTTTTTCATTAGAGCCAATTACACTCCAGGTAGGAGGTAAAAAAAAAAAAAAAGCCATATCGTTTTAATTCAACATTTGAATCTTCTATACACCTCATTCCAAGGGGAGTTTTCCTTCAAATTTGCTATCATCTCTAGACCCAAAATCAAGAGATGCCTAAAAATTCTTTTCCAAATAAAATTAACAATACAGCAAAAGGGAGGATGCAAGGCAAACTCCCTGTTGCTAGAAAGCTCCATGGGGAGAAACCAAAAGCCTAGGGATGTGTCAGAACTGGAAGGAAGGGACAGCAACTTGCATCGGCATGAAAAGCCCCAAGTTTGGACACAGGAACGTTATCAAAGGCACCCAATT